GGTGACAAGGTCAAAGCGATAACCGACATGGCAAGCCCCCAGAACATCAGCGAACTCCGCCAAATGCTGGGTATGGTGAATTACCTGGCCAAGTTCTTGCCTCACCAGGCCACAGTGCTGCATCCAGTCACCTCCCTGCTGAGGGACGATGTCCAGTGGGTGTGGGTTGCCACCCAAGAACAGGCCCTCGAAGAGGTAAAGAAGATGCTGGTCACACCACCAGTGTTGGCCTACTATGACCTCAACAAGCCGACAGTGGTGAGTGCAGACGCCAGTAGTTATGGCCTAGGAGCCACTCTTTTCCAAGGCTAGGGAGATATTCTACGTCCAGTGGCATTCTGCTCAACCAGTCGACAGAGACAGAGATCGAAAAGGAGTGTCTGGAGGGTGTCTGTGCATGCGATCAATTCTCACGTTGCCTACCTACATGGCATGGAGAACTTTTATCTAGAGAACGATCATCAGTGTTAATTTAGTCAGCTTTTTTTTTTTAGTCTTAGTCACAATGACAAAAATCACTTTTAGTCTTAGTCAAATTTCAGTCATTTTAGTCAACACTGTAAATAATAAAAATTCTCGACACACTACTTCTCTTTTTTACACTGTACAGAATAAAACTTTACACACTGATTCTTTTTTAACATATTTCTTATATGTGTCACACACCCTCCCATTCCTACTACTACAGGCCCACCCGTTCCTTACCTTCTTCTATTTGGCAGCATGTTGAGATGTTGCTTGAGATTCGTTGTGTTCTTCTCTGCCATTTTGAAGCCGCAGACTCTTTGGTGGCATCCTTCCTCCGGTGTCTCCACATCCACACAACGAAATATTTTCGTCATCATCCTGGTTGATGAAATTAAAACTTATGACCATTAAGCCGTTAGTACCATTAATCAACACCTACAACCTGGATAAAGCACCGCTGAGATGCTAGCGCTTGCTAATGAAGATTTAATGTGAAAGCGGTACATGTGCCAGGCAATCAACTCATAACTGCAGACACACTGTCCCGAAACCCTCTGACAGTTAGTGAAGCATCAGATACTGACGAGGACAAGAAAGCCTATGTGCAAGCGTTGATGGCTGCCAGACCGGTGTCGGACGACAGGCTGGAGAAGATCCGTGCGGCAACCCTCAAGGATGAGGATCTCCAGAGAGTCACCCACTACATCCGTCATGGCTGGTCAACTTCAATGTCACAGTTGCCACACACACTCCGACGGCTTGTTGCTGTACAACAACAGAATCGTCACTCTCGGGTCACAGAGGATGGAAGTGCTGTCCAAGCTCCACGAGGGTCACTTTGGCTTGACCAAAAGCCGAGAGAGCCAACATGTCAGTGTGTTGGCCGGGCATTACCAGGTAGAGTCCTGCAATGGGTCAGGTACCCGCGGGTACCTGACGGGTCACCCGCAAAAATGCTCTTTTGCGGGTGAAAAATACATAAATAAAAATAAACGGGTCGGGCGTCAGTCAAATATTTTTTTAGTGCGGGCGGGTAGTTGGTGATTTTTTTTTTTTTTTATGCTTGTCTATTGTTATGGACATCAGAAATGTTATACTAATCAGGCACTGGGGTCACCCTTGTTGTAGCTTAAAGCCCTGCCGGCAGTGTGGGCTTCCCTCCAAAAAGGCCACAGTCAGTGCATACACGTCTGCTGCAGTGTTAATGGCGCTGTTCTGCAGCGCAGCGTACTATAGCCTATTACTTGATGTGTTAACGGGTCGGGTTGCGGATTAAATATCAACAGGTCGGGTCGGGTTCGGATTTGAATTGAAGATATCCCCGGGTGACGGGTCGGGTTCGGTAGCCATCCTAACGGGTTCGGGCGGATGCGGGTTGGTAAAACTCGACCCGTGCAGGACTCTATTACCAGGTGTGTTACAACCTGCGAGTTTTGCATCACAAACAAATCTACTCAGAACAAAGAGACATTAATGACTACTCCATTACCCAATGGGCCATGGCAGAAGATAGCTGCCGATCTGTTCGAGTTAGACAGGAAACAATACTTAGTTGCAGTGGACTATTATTCCCATGACACAGAAATATATTTATATATTTTTTTTTATAGATAGAAATAGCCTAGTATAACTAGCAAGCAAGTGATCAGTTGTCTCAAGAGCATGTTTGTACGCTGTTTGAACGCTGGGGTATCAAGCCGACATCAAGCCCTCACTACCTGCAAGCAAATGGTCCTGCAGAGCAAGCAGTGCAGACTGCCAAGTGGATCTTGCGCCAACCAGACCCACAATTGGCGCTGATGAATTACAGAGCCGCCCCAATCCAGTCTACTGGACACAGCCCTGCCCAGCTTGCAGTTGGTCGCCAGATCAGAACGAGAGTCCCCACTCTCACAGAACATCTGCAGTCCTGCAATGTGGATCTTAAGCAGCTGAAAGAAAAAGATAGACAAACAAAGCAGGGCTGCAGATTCCTCTATAGCAGGACACACTCTGCGCATGACCTTCCAGCTCTACGTCCTGGTCAGCAGGTAAAGGTCAAGCTGGATGGGGAAAAGACACGGACGACTCCTGGTGTGAGAGTCTCCAGTGCACCAGAGTCACGGTCATATGTGGTTAGAAATGAGCAAGACACAGTCATACGTCGAAACCGACGTCATTTGAAGCTCATCCCGGAGCAACCCAGCCTGGAGGGACAGACACCGCCTGAAGAACATGCCCAACCAGTTGATGTGACCATGAGGGAGCCAGCTTAGCTCGCATCAGCAACAAAGCCTCTAGACCAGGCTTCTCCAGAGGGAGTGCCTGTCCAGGCACTGACTACACCAGTTCCTGTGGTCAAGAGGTCATCAGGAAGAATTATCAAGACTCCTGTGAAGTTCAAGGACTTTGTCCGATGAATGCTTAGTTTAAGAAAAATTAAAAGTTTATGTTGTTAAGAGAAATACTATAGAATAAGTTAGAACATGTTCTTTACAGGAAGTTTAATGTAATGTTATAGTGCAGTCAGTCAGTTTAAAGGCAACTGGGTATAGAATTAATGGGCAGTGGGAAGACATGCTTAGAATTATTGGGTTATTGATTATTGTTTAAAAAACAAACTTAAGAGGGAAGATGTTATGAGACATAGCTTTTACTTTGAAGGTCTCAGGTCAATACTTATACGTCACACGCACTACTTGTTAGTTAGTATTGGCCAAGATTTAGTTAAGTGATGCATACTCTGTAATGTTAAGCTCCTTCAGTAAAGTGCGTAAAACTATACTTTTTGTCCATCCATTTCATGACAGAGATTATTTAGATTCGTCTCACGCCTAGCGGATTTTCTATAGCTAAGCCTCATCTCAAAAGGATAGCAAGCAAAGTAAATTAAATGTTTGCCAAAAAAGTGTACCCCCCCCCCCCCCCCCCTTAAAAAATTATATGCCCCATTTTTATTTATTTCTGCAGTCGGGTCTGAACTCAAGCACCAAGGTAAGATAAGGGCCATCCGGCACGATTTGTCATGTTACTAGCATGGAAAAATGACTTTTTCTTTTTTGTGATGGGAATTCCAGTTACTTCAGTGTATCTAGGGGAAAGTGGGAGATGAAAATTAGGTGTGGAAAACTTAGCTCCTGATTCTACCATAAACATGGTCATTTATTTACCATGACCGACATTTCTTGATCAGTCTACTTTCTCCCTTCAGACCAACCAGAAAGTTACAACTGATTTCAGAACAGAATACAGAATACTGTTTGCTTTTTACAAATAAAAGGTTCAAACTCACTATTTCTTCATGTAATTCTGCATGTGGGTCAAACTACAGACAAATAGCACAGCAGGTGCTTCGGGGCAGTAGGATCAGATTTTTATTAGGTGTATAACCAAGCCAGGATATATATTTCAAGACATTTGTTTTCCTCAAAAAATAAAATGTAACAACTTTTGTATTCTGTATTTTCAACTTATCTTTGTCACAATTAAGATCTATCAAAAGCAGAGGATTTCAGACAATAAATGCAAACTCCTATCTAAGAGATGCATACCATTTCAAAAATAATCCTAAGAATGATAAAAAATAGACTACAGTATGACTCTGCAAAACCTCATGTAGAGTTTTGATGAATGTTGTAAATGAATTAATTGTTGCAACAGGCTGAAAGATGCCATTCAGGAACAACCTTTACATCAAACCAAACAATAATCTGAATGTATAGAGTTACATTTTAATTTTATTCACCTGCTTAGAAAACAATAAAGAAACCATCCATCAATTTTCTCACACGCTTAATCAATAAAGAAACCTTTATATAAAATTTTTATTCTTCAGATTCTGAAATCTAGTATTCTGAAACATCTATCCATCAGGCTTATTACTTTATCAAAGAAAAGACAACTACTGGTTAAACAAGAGACATTTTGGTGCTAAATGAAATCAAAGCCCACTGCAAAACTGACAAAAAATCAAAGGAACTCAATAAAGGAAAAGTCCGGTCTTATTCAGAATACAAACTTCTGAAAGTACTTTAAATATCAAATATATTATATTATATTCCATCCTGTTCAATAAATGATCAGTGTTTTAATTAAGAGTAATTTTCATGTGAATGTGCTTTACTGGAGGCATCCATGTTTGTCAAAGAACACTACTGCCACCTACTGGTTAGTGACGTCACGGTGCGGTATCGGCTGTTGATCAAGTCCCAGTGCTGTATCTGGTGTTTGTCACAACGCGCTATTATCCAAGTCATCTTGAAAACATTCTTCTTCCAAATGTTGGCTACATATTACGGGTTTTTTCTCTGGCCAGAAGTTCGATGGCAAATCCTCCCTCTTCAAGTTGGCGATCCAACGACCAACCCGTCCGTGGAGGATCAGGAATCAGAAAGGTGGAATAACTCTTTTTTTTCACTTTTCCCCGATGTATTCCAGCATCCAGCTGCCATGCACGTGGGCATTGTCAGTTTCACTATAGCTCTGGTGAATTTCAATGGTGAAGTCCTCTGGAAATCTTCAATAATTGTTGTTGACTGCAGATGTGTCTAGTAGTTCCCATTGATTTTGCTTGTAAAGCGGGGAGAATGGCGCTAGGCTTACTGCACCGTGACGTCACTGCCGGAAGATGGCAGGAGGGAGGGGTTACTATATTTGGGCAAAAATGGCCGCTACCAGACTCAATTATCTCAACGAAAATTATTACTTTTTTAATTAAGGCAAAATTCATTAAATCACTGCGAACGATCCATTGATTATTCCTTGCTGACTGGACTTTTCCTTTAAATCAGAGGGGTGTACTTCAGTTGTCATAGAACGATGTTGGAGTGCATCCTCTCTTGAGTTTCTTGCCTTCTGGTGTACCCCGAAAATATTCCAGATAAGACGAGAACACATACTTGTTCATGACTTTAATCTTCCCAAAAATCTCAAGCTCAGTTTGGTCGTTGTGTCTAATCGCATCCATCATTTGCTTGGATTTGATGTACAAAGAATTTTCTTTTGCGATGACTTGGTCCAACCAGATCTGTCTTTGCTGCGGTGCCATCTGATAGTCGTCAACAGTGCAGCCGTAGAATCCCCGTTTGACATGTTCAGGCCAGGGTTGCTCTGTGATCATAGGGTGATTCTCGCCCACAAAGGCTGTGCACAGAGGGCTGTCACTCCCTCGAGAACGACCTACTTCACAGCCAATAACACTCATGAGAAAAAGTGAGAAGGTTCTGAAGTTCCGTACTGAAGCTGAAAAGACTGCAGCCATAAAGTAACGCCCCCACCTTTCACAGTTGTAGGTACATTGTTGGAACTGAAACGTTTGGCGGCAAAAGTCGTTGAACTTCGATGCTTTGAGACCTTGTTGCAACTCCTGCAGGGAAGATTCTGCCTGCTGGTCACTGAATGTCTGACGGAAAAGTTCGATTTCAGCCTCACTGCTGGTTTTCATGAACTTGCCCACCAGACTAACACTCAGATTTTTCCCATGAACTTTATAGATACAATCATTTAGAACGTAATACAGGTCTGAGGTCACTTCCTCTCTGGCACAGTAGCGAATCTCCACTAGTAGGTCCTGGATGTTGGAGATGCGTTTAAGGTTTATGCTGGTCTCTTCGGTCACTTCAAGCCAAACTGCTGTCTGGTAATCATTGCTGGGGATGTAATCAGGAGCTCTTCTTTTTTCATTTTCCTCAAAAAATAAGCTCCAAGTGAGCCCCTCCAAGCAGTCTATAGAAGGGTACTTTTTGCGCAGCTCCATGGGAACAAACATTTGAGGATGTCTTGGCCACTCTAGACTCTGAGAATACAGAATATTCCCTTCATAATTGCGATACACTGAACCTGCACAACCAAAGAGTTTCCTGGTCAGCAGGCCACCTTTTGGACTGAGTTCAGCAATGACGCTACTGCTGTAGTCATGGGTTGTCCACACACCATCCCGTCCAATCAGTATCTGTCCATTGGTGTTAACTGAGAGGGGTGTGTTGTACAGGCGTAGTTTTGCTTTCACATTTAAAGAACGGAGAGCTTGGAGCAGCTTCAGGGTGTAGTTCAGGTTACTTCCAAGGTTGCAGCTGATTAGACTGATGGTGCCACTGGGATCGATGAGGAATTTAGTCTTCAGGCTGGACACATATGTGGCAACTTCTTCTGCACTGTAACCGGCCAGGCTCAGATCTCCTGTGGACAGCTCTTTACCGTGGCCAACAAGGACGATATCATCACTTTTGGAAGGAATCAAGTTGCCTCCTCTCAAGATATGCAATGCCCCATGGTGGGTCTTTACCAGAGTGGAGGAATTTGGATTCCTCTCAAATAGATAGGTGCCTGCTTCAATCACAGCCAGGTCGTCCTCTAAGAGAACTATGGTCTGGTGGATGGATTTATGTCCATTGTCCCTAGAGAAAAGATAAGGTCAGTTAGAAAGCCTTTGTGTCTGAAATGTTTGAAGAAGATGGATTTTTTTCTGTAAACAGTTTCTTGATATTAACACATATAATATTTTTTTTATATTGATTGTTTTTTAATTGGATTCTTGTCCACCCCCTTTTTAATTCAGGAATTTTAGTCAAGTTTAGTTGTTTTCAATCAGATATTGATGGATTTATGGAAGTAAATCTGTGTCGCTGGGATTTGAATTACAAATGCCACTGAAATTTAAATGTTGTATGTTTGTACTTATTGTTTCAGTGTTAAAATATATTCAGAACACATTTTTGACCTAAAAAGAAATTCATTGTCATTATTTCTACACAGTAGAAATTTCATTTATTTTCTCTTCAAGCTAAAAATTCACATTACTCAACAGTGAGTTTATTACTTAAATTTTTCTGTAGTTGAGTTAGCGTTAGCTTGCATGACCAGCTCCGTCATGCTGATTTTCCATCAGTATGAGCGCTGCAAGCGTCACGTCACGTGACTAAGAAAATGTAACGGCATTGGCTGGGTGTTGGACATCACAATCCATTGCTAATGTCTGTGACCTGAAGTAACCCTTCCCTTTTTACACTGAATTTAGACGCCGAATTTAAGACGGTGAAATAGAGCCAGGTGAATCTCAGGAGGCTGAAAATATTGAGTTTGAATTTTGAAAGGTTGAATTTTTTTTATATGCAGATTTTTTTTAACACTGAAAAATTAAACTGAAAAATAAGTATTGAAAAAGCAATCACTTTGAAACAGTAATGTGATTTTTTTAGCTTGAAGAGAAAATAAATGAAATTACAACTGTGTAGAAATAATGACAATCAATTTTTTTTTTAGGTCAAAAATGTGTTCCGAATACATTTTAACTCTGAAACAGTAAGTACAAAAAAACAACATTAAAAATTCAAATCCCAGCGACACAGATTTACTTCCATATGGATTTAACATGCTGAAAAAGAGCAGGATTGTGGCTCACCTGTCTCCTGTACTGGAACTCTGTCGTACTTTCTCGGCTTTCCAATCTGAAATTTAAAAAAGGGTACAATGCTTTATTCAACAGTTCAAGCTGAAAACACCCCTCCCATCCGTGTGCAATTAAAAGTTCTGATGGAGTTAAATGTGAAAAAAATAACTCTCAATCAAGCACATTTATAATGAAACACAAATGTTGATGCCTAAGGAGCTGGATTGAAAGTTAAGAAAACAATCACATCCCCTGTTTTCCTGTTAAATCTTTGACATATTAATATTTCTATAACTCACAACACCTGATACTATGGGCAGTGCAAACCTTCACACCATTTTATACGTGCAATTCTGCTCATGAGCACCAGAAGGAGCAATTTCATCAAAGTTAATAACCTGTTCCAACACCTACAATGGATGCGGGTGATTCACCTTTTGTCACCCTTGATTGTTTTGTCCACAGATACCCAACTGTCAGAAATCCTTCTACTGCTTTCACATTCAGTTTATTATTAAATCCATGATATATTTTATTATCACCAGCCACTGAAAGCCCCCAATAATTCTTTGATTTCAGGAAACGCCTCAGTTAAGAGCTGTTGGGTATACAGAAAGGGAACTGGTAAACTTTTTTCAAGGTTTAATATAGAAGCTGTTTTAGTATCAGCCGTTAGGTCTGTTAGACTGCAATTCCAGAATCTTTTACTTTTATTCGCCTTGTAGATAAAGGAAAACTCTGCAATGGAAATCCCCAACAGTGCACTGAGTAATTGTCCTCTTTTTCCTTCTTGACACACTTACTACTTGGTAAAAAAAAAAGAAAGTTGTGCATAATTTCAGCCCATTTTCCGAAGGTCTTTCAATACAGGAAAAATACACATTAAAGATTCAACTTTTGAGCATATATCAAGGACAGTACCTATATCTTTATACCACATAGTAACTGTATGTGTGCAGATAAGGATTCTAGCATTTTTATCTTAATTCAACATCTCTTATCAGCATGAAAGAGCTGTTGTACACCACTGCGTTAACTGTAGCAATACCTACTGTGTGAACTTCAGAAAGCTGGTAGGAAAGAATTTGTTAAATAGTATATGACTTTTACAAATCCCAACCTAATTGTAGGATTTTTTTTTTTTAATGTCCAGAACGTTTGGTATGGAAAACTGCCCTTTTAGTGCTGTAGCATCGGTGGCAGGGGTTCAAAAATTACATTCCAATTATATTAAAAGGTAAACAGATAAAAAATGTTCTTATGAAATGATTACTGTGTTATTAGTTGATCCATATGGTCTGACAATATTCAATAAGACAAATTCAGATATGAAAATCTACATGAATCCATTCGGTTTGCTTATTTAGAAGGTAAAACTACCTACCTGCCCTCAACTCTTTGACCGAAGAAAGCAGAGCAATAATCGCACAAAGTCCAGAGAGCATCATCATGTCTGTATTGCTGTGTGCAGCACAGCCAGAGAGATGATTGTACTGACTTTAGAAGTGAGAGACGTTTCAGGTCATATATCAGGTGCCATTTGGTTAGATAGGAATGTAAATGATATGAGGTGAGCTGCAGTTGCTGCAGCTCACCTCATATCAAGAAGCTGTCTGACCTAGCTTTCCTCTATGGCCCTATTTTACTATGCAGAACATATTCATTCAATTCACTTTATTTCTATAGTTCCAATTCACAACATGTCACCCGAAGGCACTTTACAGAGACAATTCAACTAGATCATACAGTCAGAAAGGGTTAAAATTTTCTATCTAGAAAACCAGCTGATTGCATCGACTCAATGACTCAAAAGCAATCCTTCACCTTATGCATGCTTGTAGCAGTAGAGTAGAGGAAAACTCCCTTTTAACAGGAAGAAACCTCCAGCAGAACCAGGCTCAGTGTGAGCGGCCATCTGCTGAGGCCCACTGGGGTTCAAGGAGACAGAAGCAGACATAGAAAAAGAAGCATAGATACAAAAAGTAACTGTAAACCAGCTCCACAGGCGACCCCGTCCAGGAAACACACAGCCAGGCAGACGAGCTCCAAGCCAGCTCCTGTGTTAGATGATAAAATAGAGCACATACAGTAAGTCCCAGTAAGAGAAACAGGACTACACTGAAAAACAGACCAAGCTCCAACAATTGTATAAACATTAGTGTTGATGGCAGCAGCACAGCTGCTATTTCAATCCAGGATGGACTCAAAAACTGTCATGATGGGTTTCAGAAAAGCCCAGTAAGCAGAACACCACGGAAACAGATGAAAAGTTTAACAAAGTTTATTGAGCACAAGCACATGGAATAAACACAGGAACTGGTTCAGGCCTGGGGGCAGGTTCACTGGAGTCTGTGAGGATGACAGTTCAGTTAGCTTGGGAGCAGATGAGTTTGAGTTAAAGAGTTTCTGATTGATACCTTGAGGTGTCCGGGTTTGGCTTTGAGAGAGGAACTGTTGGGTCCAGAGACTGTTTAGTTCAGCAGAGCCCAATAACCGCTTCAGCGTCTTACTTCTAACTTGAGGGCAGACCTTGGCTTTGGGTTTCCAGCTCTTAGTCCAGAGCAGCATGGGAATCCAGAGAAGAGTCTTCAGGTTTGGCTCAGAGGGCAGGCTCGGCAGGTTAAGCTCATCCAGAGCTTACAATGGAAACTGGATTCCTGAAAGCAGAGACAAGGAGGAATTAGAATCCAATCAGGATCAGAGAACAACAAAGATTCTCAGAAGATGCTAGCCTCAGGTGCTAACCAAACTGGATAAACACTGCGGCGTTGAGGCAAGGTCTGAAGGCTGGTTATAAAGGAGAGGATCCTCTGATGACGAGATGCGCCTCAGGTGTGTTGGAGGCTCAGCTCAGGAGGATCCAAGGCGCACTCTGCTGGAGAGAGGTGGAACAGCTCCAGATCCCAACAAAAACAAACAGGAACTGGCACAGACGAAGGTACTATGATGACAAACATCTGACAAAGTATAAGTTAGAGTTTGAACTAATAAATACTGCAGAGTGAAAGAATAGAGATAGAATCATGAAAAGGGGTCCCCATTTCCTCCAGCAGTCTAAGCCTATAGCAGCAGAACTATAGAGATAGCTCAGGATAACCTGAGCCACTCTAACTAGAAGCTTTATCAAAAAGGAAAGTTTTAAGCCTAGCCTTAAAAATAGACAGGGTGTCTGCCTCACGGACTAAAACTGGTAGTTGGTTCCACAGGAGAGGAGCCTGAGAACTAAAAGATCTGCCTCCCATTCTACTTTTAGAAATTCTAGGAACCACTAGTAAACCTGCAGACTGAGAATGCTCTCTTAGGAGCATAACGTACAATAAGATCTTGTAATGACCAGAAGACTGAAGCTACAGAATTCAACCAGAATGACGAGAGATGTTTATTGGAATGTGAAATTGTAAGGAATCCAGTTTGTGTGGTCTGTTGTTTTTGTGTTTGTCTCTCCCTCCACCACCAGGTGGCGCCCTGTCCTCATTGGCCCTCCTACACACCTGCGGCTCATTGGTTCATTATCTGGAGGAGTATTTAAGCAGTGGACTGTCACTACCTCGATGCCAGAGTGTTTGCCAGTTTTGGGTACTCTAGCCAAGCTGAGTTTAGCTGAGTCTAATCAGAGTTTTGTTTCTCAGAGATGAACACTGTTTTTGTCTTTGCCTTTGGCAGGATATCTTCCTGCATACTAGATGTTTGGCCTTCTCCCCCCTGGAAGGATAATCTGTGTTCACACTGAGCAGCGAATGTCAACCACCTCCAACGAGTCCCCTCTTCACTGGATCAACCCACACTGACTGGATTTGAAGTGAGAGAAGAACCCCCCTAAACGTGTGTCCCTCACTAGCATTATCCTTACCGCATCCAAGATTCCCACGGTACCTGAACTCACCTCTGTGAACTTCCGTCCTCCCTTCCAGGTTTGGTTCACCAGCCCTCTGAGTGCCAGATCCAACCCCTCAACCCTTACCACAATGAACCTGTTAAACCTTTGCCTTGCTCTCTGAGTGGTTCTCTGCATTTTGGGTGAGATCACTTACAAGCATCATGACAGAAATTGCCACAGGTCGGGGAGGGATTCCAGAGTCAGCAACCAGAACTTGTGGTAGGAGATTGGACAGTTGACTAACCAGACAAAAACAGAGAGAAATGTTTCTAGAGTTAAATTCTGGCTCACTAACCTTCTCGGTTTCTGAACATGCCGGTTGGCGTGTGACATAACTGGTGAACCTCAGAGGATTCCAGAATCTGCCCAATATGCTTAAAATATTCCACACATTTTATTCAGTGTAGATATTCCCATCCACACTTCATGATTAACTCCTAGGATTGCCAGTAGAAAACACTGGGGGGCGTGTCTAAAACCTTCTGTGATGTGTATCCTGTAGAATGTATATCCCTGAGGAAAACCTTTTGTCTGCTGATTCTGATGGCTATGACACAGAAAAACTCACTTTGGGTCCATCCAATCAACCAGCAAAGACAACAACAAGGCTATTATCATCAGAAAATTGGTAACAGTAGCTTCATATGTCTGTTGAGAAAATGGAACTCCTGTCCATAACTGATCGTGACCTCAAACTCCAGTGTACAACATACAGAGCAGCCATTGAACCAAAACAAAGACTAGCAGTTGGCCTGAGGTAGTTGTGATCACACTTAACAACACAATGAACATGTGTTCTTATAGACATTGAAAACATACATTTTTGTAACCTGACTCCGCCAGATGAATTTGCTCCGCATATCCATCTGGAAACCTTCCGTTGAAGTAATTTTGGGAAGGGGCGAAAATACTAGTTAGCTGATTGGCCTATGTTGGTGATAGACGGGCCAAATAAACCAATCAGATCATATGACGTACTAACAGAGCGACAACGAAGAGGAGCCAATTGATAGATCAAACTCTTGCCGAAACCAGTCAGGAGAAGAGCAAAAACATCTTTTCCTCTGAGAAAAGCCTCCAGAGCAGTGTTTTGCTCTTCTTTCAGTCAAGAAATACTCTGTAATTCCAATAAAACTTGCTCGACAGCCACGCTAACGCTAGTTTCATCGGCTGAAGCCGCCATGTTCTTTAGACTGAACTGTCGCGCTTCTCGTTGTCACATCTCAACCCGCCTCAAAGCCAACGCTGATTGGACGTTCGTTTGGTGAACGGCTCCAAATTTTCTTCAACGAAGAGTCTCCAGACTGCTTAGCGAGTGAAATCTTGAAAGCTTGCGAGATCAGGATGGTCTGACAAGGCTAACATTTTTTTTACAAGAGAAAATAAATCAGAAAAAACATACAGAACTAAGATCAAGTAATGAACTGGTGCCCTCTGTCTCACATTTGGATCTGTGTCTAAGAGATTCATCATGAACTGACCCACATTAGGTGAAACAGTTCCTGGGCATAGAAGGGGGACTAAATGTAATTGATCCCCATCCAGCAGGCAGCTACCTGGTTGGGATGATGGTTGAGGAATTTGTAGATGGAGAGGGGTTGCAATTCTGCCATCTCCTTGTGGAGTGCTTGAGATTGGGAACACTGGAGGTGGGGGGAAAGGGTGAAGTTGGCTGTTTTTGGATTTTTGGGGGCGTTTCAAGCTGTCCAGAGTTTTTTAATTTATAACTTAGCCTGTCCATTTTCAATACAGAGTCTCTGGAGCATTGGCACAATGCTCAGTGCGAAGTAATAAGACTCATCGCCTACCCCTTCAGGTTCATAAGGAACCTTTGGTTCATGCAGCACACTCAGCTGGAGATCAGCAATGTCTGGTTGAGGCTCGTCCTGATGCAGTGGGTTGCGCCGTGGCAAGGACTCTTGGAATACGGGACAGTAAAGGCCTTTCTGCTGTGCTCCATTCACACTCCCCCGAGATGGACGCTGCTGTACTCACCCTACCCGCCCATCGGTGGGTAGGGTGGGTTAATCCTGCATTGTAGCTGGTCGCAGATGGTCCAGATTACTCCTTGAACTGTCAAAAAAGTGAGCTGTAAAGTTTATATAGACAGACATATCACATCTTGTTTACTTTTTGGTCTTAATTCTAGTCGGTCCAACGATTCCTTTGCAGAAAGTTGCAAAACAAGTTGTGAACTGAATGTTCTACATGCCTATAACTCAAGGTCAATGTCTGCATAATGGAATGTATGTGTACCACATTGCAACCTACTCCCCACACTCCTTTAGGCTTGCGGCATGAAGTTTTGTAACTAGAGACTCCCTATTGTAAAAAGAAAGGAGAACAGCAAGGATGCTTCAGAGCAGTAGGAGATTGTAACTGAACACATCTTAGTCCATTCTCCTCGGAAATAAAAATAATCTAATGTCTGTTGTCCTTCTTCCTCAGGTTATTTGATTAGTGTTTGGGTGTTTAAACCTAACACAATCTATCTATCTATCTAGACTGTATGTATTGGCCCCTGAATGCCATAAATTGGCATATTTTTGTTACGTCACAATTTCTGCTTTGGATCCACTGGATACATTGCAAGAGAAAAAACATA